TGAAATTGAAACATCGAATTTGGATAATAATAGGATTCGATAACGAGCAGATCAGAATGCAGGTGGGGATTGATGATGGACCTGTTTTGTTCTTGATTCTCTCAGCGTTACCTCAATCAGTTAACACGGCGATATATAAGTAGATTGGAGTGATTTCTTGTCATTTTTATCGGATGGTTTGAATTCGTTCGGAGACAATGAACGAGATTCGTGTGTTGATGTATTTCGCGGTGTTGTGCAGCTGTATTACGACGTTGATGTGTATTCTAATGATACCAACCTTCTACTCAGCAATAAACGTTGTTCATAACGAAGTGATTCAACAAGTACAAGCGTTTCGTATTAATACAGATTCAGCATGGTCACTAATGATCGATATACAAACGCAGTTGACTGCACCTCAGGAGAGGCCGCATCAAAATGCTTTCAAAGCTGCACTCTCCCGTAAGAAACGGCAGAATTTTGCTGGACTGCCGTCGTTTTGTCATTGCGAAACGATGAAGCCACAATGTCCACAAGGACCACCTGGTCCGGCTGGGGAACCTGGACCTGACGGACGTGAGTTGTTTGTCGTTATATTCTTTGTTTGATAATGATTATAAGCAAGCTCTCGAGAAGACCATAACTCCGGTAGTGAAAATCCAGAAGGACTTTGAGATTTTCCCAACGATCACTTAACTGAGCACTTTTAGCACCAGGACCTCGTGGAACACCTGGAATAGATGGTCCACCAGCACTACCTACTAATCCATGTCTTAGGGCTGACAACGGTTGCTTCAAATGCCCACTCGGACCTCCAGGTGAATTGGGACCTGATGGATCGCAAGGTGAACCTGGACCAGATGGAAAACCGGGACCTGCTGGACCTGCGGGTAAAATAGGACCTGCAGGCCCAGTTGGTCCAGCTGGTGATATTGGCCCGGTCGGCCCAGCAGGTGCTGCAGGCCATAAAGGAGAGTCTGGTAAGGATGGAAGAAAAGGTAAAGGGAGACGTGGACCGAAAGGACCACAAGGACCGCCGGGACCTGCTGGGAATCCAGGTGTTGATGGAAAGGTAGGAGCGACTGGAAAGCAAGGTCCAGTGGGACTGATCGGTGCACCAGGCAAACAAGGACAAGCTGGAGAGGATGGCAAAATCGGAGCTAAAGGAGTAGATGGACTTCCAGGTGGTGATGCGGCTTACTGTCCTTGCCCACCCCGATCGCATCTTTTGATTGCACCGATCTAATAGAATTTAAACCAACGTTATGTTATCTCTTGATCACCATATCTTCAAAAACACAAGAATGATGTCTTTTTCATCTGTACACCCATTTAACCTTCGTTATAAGTTGTAATTGATTGAATTAATTGATTAGATTTAGATTAGGTACTTTTACTTTATCACCAAAGTTGATAAAGACAAATTTTTTTGTATCATACTTCGTTGTATTGTCTGTCTATTTAGTGCATAGGATATTTATAAAAAGCACAATAACAATGATGATGCTTCATTGGTATTATTCGTTCCCTCACTAATGCAAATATAAGATGCAATACACTCATAGACATTCATTCCCACAGATCGTACAACTAACAAATACGTTCGTGTTGTGAACATTCGTTCACTATATTCTTCATGACTGGCAATTGTGTGCTTCCAAAGAACATTATGCGTTGGCCGAGACGGTCAATTCGGAATAAACACGGTTAAAACAAATAACGACCAGTGTTAGAAAGCAGGGGATGAGGACTGCGCTGAAGCAAGCAGATACAATGGCTTTATTGGGTCGGATCATATACGCCATAGGTGATCACTGTCATGATGATTTCAGCGATTCCACATCACGTTAAGAGCGTTTACAACGGCTGCATCAGTTCAATGGAATTGAATCATATCATATCATAATCAGAACACAACAAATCGGCTTGTGTTGTTGTCTACAGAAGTATGTATTATGCACGCATGCATCATCGATACAAGCAAAGAATGTGTGTTGTTCAGATCTGTGTTGAATACTGTGTCGGTGATAACAATTTATACACGATGCGTTCACATTCCTAAACAAACAGCATATCAAATGCACAAACTCGCATTTTCTTTATACACTATTAGCATTCAACCGTCTTCCTTTTCATTTTCATGTGATTCTGAACAGACCCTTAAATAAAAAGCTGCTGTATCACATAGAGTAGGAAGTGTAGGATGTTTGAGTGTTGAGGGGAAAGTTAAATGAAAAATGAACAGGAAGATTTTTCGATAGGAAGTACCGAACTTAAGGATAGTTTCTGATTGCACACACACACAGATGAATCAGTCAACCCCAGTTATCAGTTATTGACAACCTTATTATGGCTTATCAACATTTGCGTTGCCGCTAATCATTTATTCCACTGTTTATCGACCAGTGCAAATCTTGTTGATCACCCTGTGAACTTGCACTTTCGGAAAATTTCGATTATCCATCCGACTTCATCACTGACCACGTCTAGTGACCCAGAGATCCATGTCTATCATGAAAATTAAGGTGATGGGTTCCTGGGAAGTGGACTTTGCATCAACATTCTCTTCAGCAGACAGAGGATGGCTGGTTATCGAGATGCACATCGCCTCCTGAGTCTATTTTAAGTCAGCAATAAAGATCCTCTGACGTTCCCAAACGTCAATGAATTCGGCAGTGATTAATTGTGGATCAAACGATCGTGTTGTAAAGAGCAGCAATAAATGACGAAATATGAATGAATTGGTTCTGGAATGCATGATGATGCATCATTATAACCGAACCACTTCCTTTCTTCTTCTTCAATTTTCTTCTCAAATCAAAAATGAATCAAACGTTCGAATGCGATTTGGACATCTCATGACTCATATCCTTCCTGTATCTATCTTCCCTTCCGTTTGTCATCGACGTGATTCGATAACAAAACCACAGAAGCGTTTCTCCAGAACATACTGAACATTTCGATTCGTTACAGTTACAAAATTCTTTATGAGTATCTTATCAGTCAATCGTCTTAGAACATAATAATTCTGGTTCGCTTGCATTGATTGCTATCGATTTACTCACGCGTTGAAACTACTCAAAAAAGTCTGAATGTTATTTGTGAGTGTTTAACGACGAAACGGTTGTTATCAACAAACAATTTTGATGATAAATTGCTCATGTACTTACTACCAGACGCATACACTCCCCTCCCTCTGCTTCTGAGTTTCGTTTCATGTTACTTTGTGTCATTGCTCTATCTTGTTGGGCAGTTGCTTACCACTCATCTCCGGTCATCTTTCATATTGAAACATTCACCACCTTCCCACAAATCCTCATCGACTGCTTCAACTTGTTTAGAAGCTGTTTTGAGCGTCCTTGTAGCACTTCTATTTCATGCAAGCCGCATGTACGCACAAATCTGATTAACGGCTGGTTAAGGCTATGTTTTCTCAATAACTGTTTTAATGATAAACGAATAATGTTAAAATAATGCAGAAGGAAAGATGTTCCGTAAATGATGACTCCGTACGATATCTAAACACTGGCAAACACTTGAACCATTCTTCTAGAGCAATTTTGTGATATTCCCTTCAATTATCGAAAAATACGAATTTCTGCTTATGTAATCCACATTCCATTATTTCCACATCGTCCAGACTTGAATTCATCGTTTAATAATTTTTGCTCTTTTTCAGCTTACAATTAGCTTTCTTTTCAGAGAGACCATCCTGATCAGTTTCGTTCTCATATTGTTGCTACTCTCCATTTTACTTATCATTACGCTTATCTGACATAACTGTCATGAAGAAGTGTTCGATAAGTTCAATCAACTGATCTGATCATTACTGCATAATTTCGATTATCGATCAACATTGCATCACTAACTGAGTACGCCTCGTCTCTGAACAATATCACTGTTTCTGAGGTGCACTTGCAAGCTAATATATTGATCACTTAAACTAAACAAATCCGTTCTGCATTAATCCTCCTCCTTCTCTCATTCACTACGATTCCATTCATTTTTTTGAGCAGTTACCAAGCAATAGATATTTTCTACGAAAATTTCTCCTAATGAACGGCCATTAGATTGTTTCGTTCAAAATACCCTCTTTGCTCGAGATTTGAATTTTCACTGAAAGTGGATCAGGTTGATGGATTGTTTATATGACCTGATTGATCAANNGTTACGATCTGCACGAAATGCAACCAACCGATTGCGAAGCTTCATTCATTTCGAAAAAGCAGTCGCATATTTTTTGGATGCAAAAAATGCAAGCGATGAAGTGAAAGATTGATGAAAGCAATCAAAATTTGCAAATGCCTGATAAAACTAATCACTAGTGAGCGTCTATCAGTACTGACAACAACAATAATAATCGTATCGAGACGAACGTAACGAGTAAATATTGACGAAACGAATGTATAAATATTATTCATTGTAGTTTTCCATTTAAGGTCGTTATGCATTTGCTATGAATCCGACTACTCCATATCAATGCACTCATATTTACTTTTCTTTTTCAATTCCATTTTCATTGCGTCTTTCAAATGCTTATCGCATTCCGTTAATTGTCATCGTTCATCAAACTACTCCTCATTGGTTCATTTCTTTTTATTTCATAGAAACTCATTCGGAAATTTCAAACTGAGCGTAAGTAATTTGAGCGTAAGGAAGTATGTTTTGAGCGTTAGTGAGTTTAACAACTCGTCGCTATCAACGCCATCTGAAATTTCGAACGTTCACAAACAAACAAGCGAATAAACGATTTAAGAAAGTGCTAAGGAGAATCAAAAAAATTCATATGAACTGAAAAATAGAATTTTCGTTTTTTTTTTCATTCACATACGTCACTTTATTTGACGATAACATTAAACAACAACAAATGAAAAGAAAAAATTGTGGTTTAGACTTGATACTGATAAGAATGTGCAAGAGATGCGAAGAATAGTGCTCAGAATATGCAGAAAAATAATCAAATAATCGAAATTTGCTTCAAAAGATGAAATTCCGACACTTTGAAAAGTTTTATATTGATTTTGTTTTCGTAATGAAATAAAATCGATGTGAAGTTTAATTGATAATATTTCTTCGATGTTGAAAAGCATAAATTCTTTTTCGGTTCATTCGTTCAGATTTATTCTCACATTTCAATTCCATCGTCTTAATGTATTCGTGTCAACGTGATTGTTAGACGCGTGCTCGTGCAGTGCATTTACGAAACTTTCTGTTGACATTTAGGCATTTATTTGTTTCTTTACTTATTCTTCTGGCTTATATTCGTTATATGCGCGAGCAGAAGTTCCACTGCAAACTTCCCATCACGCTGCCAGTGTTTTGCACGAACGATAGCAAAACTACTACTGTAAGCGACGACGAGTCCGCAGCCATTCAGCGTTCCTCTGATTGTGAGTAATCTTAAC